CCAGAAACGGACAGCCATTGCCAGGTAATTCAACATTTATCAGGAACCGTTTGTGATGTCCTCCAAAGAAATGCTGCAACAGGGACACCTACTCCAATACCTCGACCAGGGTATCCGCGTATCACACCAAGAAGACAGGATCGCCATCTCCTTAGAGGACGCCGTGCTGGTCGTACAAAGAAAACCAGTGTCCTCAGAAAAGAGAGGCAGAATGTCTTTCAAACGCCCGTTTCAAGGTCCCACGTGAACAAGATATTTCTGCAAGCCGGTTATTTTGCACGAAGGCCAGTAGAGAAACCACTGTTAACAGCAGGTCATATACAGCAACGTCTGCAATAGGCTGGGGACCACGTGCTTTTGCAGGCAAAACACTGGAATCACGTCGTTTTCATTGAAGAGGCCAGATATGGATTTTTTAGGGTTGATCATCGAATCCATGTCCACGGACGTGTACGAGGGGCATAAAACAATGATTGTGTACTGCCTAGGGTGCAAGCAGGGGATGGTAACGTCTCTGTTTCGGGAGCATTTCATGTCGGTGCCCAGAACCAGTTGGTTTTTCTAGGAGGCAACCTCATCCAGGATTCCTACAGAGACATTATACAGCAAACAATGCTTCGATTGGTAAGAGTCATCTTCAGGAACAACTTTGTGTACCGAGACGACTGCGCAACCCTACATCGAGGCCGCAGAATCACTGTTTTTCTTCAAAACCAATGTGTTCAGCAACTGCCCTGGCCTGCAAACTCTCCAGATATGAACCCAATTGCAAATCTGTGGGCGGATGTAACTCACAGAATTAATAGCCAGGGTCCTCGGCCGGTGAATAGTGATAAACTGCGATAGGCAAATATCACTGTGTGGAATGAAATCCCAACCAAAACTCTAAAAAACGTGTCACAGGGTATGCCATGTGGGATGAGGGCGCTGCAAGCGGCTGCTGGAGGTCATACCCGCAATTACTGACTTTTCATGATTTACTGTAGTGAGTTCTTTGTCTGTGTAACATATCACTGTCCGGAGGCTATCATTTTCTTTAATATCTTATCTTAAAGTTTATACTGACATCAAACTGTTGATATGGTTTTCTGGGGGTGTTCCTTTCTTTTGAATGGCACCTAATGTCAGATTTGATATTATTGACCAAAATATCTCACAACAGAAGACTGGATGTTATTATCACTCAGTGACATACTTTTTTAATGATTCAAGCCAAAAAAAATTCAATCAGCACTCAAAAATAACAATGATAAAAAATATTCCATATTAAGTAGCAACCCTGTATGTCTAAGATGAGGTATTTGCAGAGTATACAGTAAACAAAAAACAATAGCAGTGTTTACGTTTGTGATATGAAGACACTGAGAAAAAGACTTGATTTAGAGGTAGAGGTAGCGGTTACCATAATAATGAAGGAAGAGCAACAGGAGAAGAAACTCTGGCAGAGAAGAGAGGTTTAAAGAACCCAAATGTTTTGCATATGCTTTTCTGCAAATCAGGCAAATGAGACTGCCTTTAGGCAAATAAAAAACTCAAACAAGACAATTATAACACAGTAACTGATTCTTGTTAATAAATACGCGAGAGTACATAAGCCTGCAGTGGTTACAAGTGTACGATATGTAGAGAAATGCTCTTACTGTAAAGGACATAACCTGACACCCCTACTGTTTAATATAGTCCACTCACCCCTATCAATAATAGACACTGCCACCAAGCATGAGCAGTTGATTACACAGGAAGCTTAGAAGCAGGCAGTTGAATTTTATGCAGACATCCAAGAAGTTAGAAATTTGTCATGCAAAAGAGGACAAAAAAATTGTAAGTTTCATTTACTTTACTTTATACAACTGCCATTGTTACTATCAAATTCATATTGAGTTAAAATTTAGTTTTAGGTAAATATATTGTGGTATTTACAAGTCTCAGTGAAATTTGGGCGTGGACTCGTGGATAATTGCAAAAGAAGTGTCATTTTTCTTTATTATTTAATGTATTCACTTTATTAATATTTATTTATCTGTTTGTTTCTTTATATCTATATATAATGTGCTCTAGGGTTTTTGTCAGTTATTTAAGCATTTTTTATTTTATTTTACTTTACAGATTTGAACCATACACACATAAGTATCCTCACACAAGTTTGTGTAAAGAGACAATAAATCAACCGTATGAGTACAAATACAGTCTTCTCTTTTGTATTGGAGTGTCACCCGTCACACTTACTTTTAGAGAAAATGCCCCTTTTTGACCCGCCACTAATTTTGCATTTGCATATGAATTCTGCTAGTATTTTGGACTGCTGTTTGACTTCTATCTGCCAAGTAAGAAATAGCTTGTATTACCATATGTTAAGTTCAGGATATTAAAGGCTGAAGAGATGTAATACACCGACAAATTCGTAACACATAACAATTATTGCATTTTACTTATCAATTTGATATTGTTAACTAATATTAGACCTGTTGTAGCCTCTTTATTGCATATTTATATTATTCAAGCTATTTCCAGTTTTTGAATTAAAAATACCCGACTCATTGCGACAAAAAATAAATAAATAAATAAATAAAACATGCTGAGCAGAGAAAAGTCACCTACAGCTCTATAAGACTCCGGGGGTATATTACCTTTAATATCCCTATTGTGTCGTCACCTTTTATAGTGATGATTGCCTCTTTTATGTCTCCTAAACTTTCAGCGGAACCCTTAAGAGTTTTCCTGAAAGAATGCAGCAAGCTTTTCAAAGTACATGTAGTATCTGTTTACAAAGTCAGGTATAAACGGAAATTAACTTTGTATACTGTGTAAAAAGAGTCGTTAAACCAAAAAGGCAGTAAATAAGAACTTAGCTGACACAACTTAGATATGTTAAATAAGGGTCTAGTACAGTTACAAATATGTTGTTGCATTTAAGTTGGTAATATATGCGGTTTTACTTGTTTCATTACTGATTGTGTTGTCATTTCCCGGTTGATCAAGGCAAGAGAGAGAAAGAGAGATAGAAAAGGGGAGAGAGAGAGAGAGAGAGTTACCTTGAGTCCTTCGTTATTTCAATTCTTTTGTCTAATCTCCCCACTGTCAGTGTTGCTTTAGACCCGACAACTTTTACTCGAAGTGGAGCATGGATACCATCATGTTTGTCGTTTCCAGTAGTGATTATCACCTCGTAGGTCACTCTGGCACAATCTTGAACGTTGATGGAAAAATAAAATACTGCCTTCACTTAATTGTCAGTTTAAAAGATAAACATGGTGATAATAAGGTACCTGATAAAAGTTTAAGTAACGAAACATAAAATAGTCCCTTACCTACACTGGTCTATCGTTTCATTGTGTGAAAAGCTCCAGTGGCCAGACAATTTTCACGGTGCCATGAAGATGAACTGTTAAAAAATATCNAAAATAATTGTAGACATACATGTATATTGCCTATCTATTATACACTTGATAATTTTTGAGTATCTATTTTAAAAGCGACATTATAGCATTTGGTTGGTAAAGCATCAGTTAAGTTTACGGCGCTCTGTCGAATAAAGAGACAGAAAAATGGGGTTCCATTATATCCAAAAGGTTTTAGTAAAGGAATTACTATCACATTTCTATCAACAAGGACCGGTGGCTGGGCCAATATTACGTAGCATCGCTGACTGACTTTCCCTGTTTGCATTCATCAGCTCTTTGAGCATAATTCTAATAAATAGCTGGGCTAAAAATAGAAAAAGCAATTAAGAAGAGTGTATCATGGAAACATCCATGATGGCTGTCGTCAGTGCTCATGCTGTCCACTTTAACTTTCATTAACATATTCATCTCAGCGATTCCGAAAAAAATTTAAATGAACAACTTTAGGCCCCAAACTCAGCTTTGTTAGGATAAAATAAAAATAAACTTACCTGTTACATGGTTTTGAGTCTGCAAAAGCGTCAGTAATATAAACACACTTAATGTTAGTGCCATCCTCATGCTGCGCGTGGCTTTCTAAAACTCCTTCGTCGGAAAGTACTCTTCGTCCGAAACAATTCACTGTTTTAGTCGTCCGTGCTTGTAAATTCTATGCCATTGGTCTAGTTCACGATAAAACACGCGGTACTATGGAGTTCTGGTGGTGTTAAGCTTGATAATGAAATTATCATCACTGTCGAGGTGATATTTTCTAATCTGATATAATAGTTCGTAATGTTGAAACCTAAATCGATCTCAACACCGATAAGATACTGATTTGATTCAGATAATATATTTTCCCAATGGATAAACCCATGCAAAACAGGAGCATTGTAACAATGAAATAAACCATACTTATTAAAATAGATTTTAAATTTGGTCTTGAAATTGAGATGAACCCCTACATGTACTATTAAGTCCGCATGCGAAACAGGCCGTAGTATAAAAGATGGCGAGATATCATTTTATTTGCCATATCAAATACCACTTTTTCACACTGCAAAATGGAATAAAATAAAATATTTTTCAAAATGTGCTAGTGCTAAAAATGTTAATTAATTTTCGATTCATTTAATGAATATACACAGTGGTTCGTGCTAGTGGTTCACATAATCTTCTTTTCCTGTGCTTGACTTTAAATCTTCTGTTGTCACCAAATCTTGCGACTCATCCTTTCTTTACTTAATGCAATTTTCAACGGATTTAATGGGGGGAGGGGGTTCTACTGCGAAAAATAAAATAAATAATTTAATGGGAAGAAAATAAATATAGGTATTTTGATTATAACCTTGGCGGAGGTTATTTTTTCACCTTCGTTTGTCTTTCTGTTCATCACCAGCCTAACTCAAAACATTATTGATGGATTTAGAAATTTTCAGGATAGATCGGCAATAGGCTTACCTAAGTTTTGATTAGGTTAAATTTTATTAAATTTTTTTAAATTTTGGCATTGAACCGGATCATCATCTTATCTGGATCTAAGTATATTTTTAAGGATTCTACAGCATTTCCATTTCCATTTGGCCAATGTCCTTAAGCAATAGAGGTGCTCTCAACTACCACAATCCTGGCGGAGGTATGCGCTCTCCGCATGCCTTTCTAGAAACTACCAGTACTTATCAACATACTATATGAGTCGCTAAACAAAAGCTATATAGATAATTATCACATTATTTTACAGTGCGTCCGTTAATCGAAATTTCGCTGTATACTTTTCAGTTTTATTATATTTTGGCGATAGCACATTATATTTTAATTTTGCCTAGCCCTGACATCTTCTCACAATTATTCTTTTGTTCATGACTGGCACACAATCAAATCAATTTCAAATTAAAATAACAAAAATAAGAATTAAAATTACATTGCCATTCTCATGCTGAAGTCGACGTCCAAATTGAAGTTTTGCCTTTATTCTTCGCATAAATCATCACTGGTCTTTCTATTTTAATTCCTTGCATGTTACCAGGGAACATGCATTAAATTAATCGATAGAATCCAATTTGTGGGCAATTATTTTCTGCATTTCCCATTTAGAGGTTTGCATTATATGTGCCTCTTATTATTGTAATAAACACAGCTTGTAGAAGATATACTGATTCAATAAAAAACAATTCTACAATGTGAATCCCTCTACTAAAAGGAATTGATATGGTATAAAAAAGACTAGAAATTTAAATTTCGTGTATTAGAAAATCAAAATATCACCGTTGGCTGCTTAAGATTCAATCTTTGTGTATGACTCGATTGTGAAAAAGGCCAATGAACTGGAACCCTATACACCGCATATATTTATAGTTGGAATATCCTCGATTCACACCTCTTCGTCTGTTTTATTTGTATTTGTTTTCTTTTCAAAATGTTTGGAAGAATCTTCTTCTGGATTTAGTTTTGCCAAACAAGAGAAGCCTCCCGTCACCAACCGCTGGACTGAAATAAAGTAATTAGAATTTGTTTGATTCGTTGAAAAAGACACTTGCAGAGGATTAAAACGCCCCTCTAATTAGACCAGGCATAAAAACTTTATTCTGACACTACACTAATTTCTTTCAGCGTGCCGGGAAAAATTAGAACTTTCGTAGTATGCATATTGCATGTTTAAATACATGAGTGTTGATGAGTTCTGTCCGTAAGTGTATTCTGTTAAGTTTAATGCAAAGGCAAATGTGTACGCCAAGTCTATCTGATTAAATGAATATAGATGTTAAAATATTGTTCTGTACTTAATGGTTCCCCAAGCTTACATAAATGTTATGGAGAGTGTCTCATCGACAAAGAAAATATCAAAGTTGCATACTTATATCATGAAGCTGGGTCTTCAAAACATCCGCTGTGACGTCAGTGTCAAGGCCGTGTTCTAGTAAACCCATAATATCTTTGACTGGTTGTTGAATGCTATCCTGTAATGTGCATAAAATTTTGATAAAAAATAGAAATCCCTTTAGGCATTCCTCCTTCTCAAGATCTCATTTGTTGACATTTTTGATCTGGAATAAGTGAAACCATGCAAAAAAAACGTGAACCCATGGGTGTGCTGCTACACAACTCAAAGTTAGTTTTGAATTAAGCGGTGGAAGTTGACTGCTTAAGGCATTATGCAGCTTAAGGCTGTAGGTGGACATGAACAACGCCACATGGCTTAATTAAGCAGGCGGCGCTTGTATTAATTTAAATCAGATTAACAAGTAATAAAGTAGTAAATTAATAAGTTTATCCACACATCAAACTTCAGTTATTTTTAGGATCTTAAATCCTATATAATTGAAAAATGAAACTGTCAAACTAATAATATATATAATATATATTATTATTACTATCGATAATTTCAAGTTATCGCTTATTGGCTTCAAATTTCTACTTACTCTAACGAATTTCACTATCTCAACCTTCTCCAGAAAAGCAACAATGAGATCCTGGTGGTTGAGTTTTGCCACGTCCAGTGAGGGGTCGCCATCGTCGTCTGCCGCCTTTGTGTCTGCCCCTGCTTCCACCAGTTGTTTCACAATTTCTAGGTTACCACGCATACAGGCCAAGTGCAGCGGCGTCAGTTGGTACGCATCACGGACGTCAATCGCAGCCCCAAGCTCCAGAAGTTTCTCCACCACAGCGGGGTGTTGTTCTAGAACGGCATGGTGGAGCGGGGCTAGATCCTCGTGTGAGGAATCTTTACACGTATTGTACTTGTCATTCATCTTCTGTCTAATGTCATCGGGAGGATCTTCTCCCCATCCTGAGGACAGCACCTTCCCGTAATTTTCCAACTCTATAATGTTTCCTTTTATTTTTACTAAGAAGTCCGCAAGAAGCTTCCTCTTGACGAGAACATAATGCCACGCAGGTCTTCCTCTATCACTACCGCGGACTAAATAAACCAGACTCCCTTCGTTGAGATAACCTCGTTTGTTCTTCAATCCAGTATGTGTTCTCAGAATGGCATCCAAACACTGCACTTGTCCACTGATTGATGCCAAGTGTGCTGGATTTTCTCCTTTGTTATTTACAATGGTTGGCTCCATCTCATGTTCATCTACCAAATACTTTACCAATTCTCCATGGACATTTCTAGATGCTTCAGACAGAAGTTTCTCTCTGACGTTGTTCTGAATACATGGGTCAGCCCTATGTTCATTTATCAAATACCTAACCACATCTACATGACCATCCCTAGATGCTAAATGCAAAGCGGTGCTCCCGTACTTGTCCTGATGATTGACATCGATTCCGTCCATTGCTGCTATTTCTTTCACTAACTCGACGTGACCGCCCCATGCGGCACACACCAGGGTATTGCTGGTCACAGGTAAACCATGGTGCCGCAGCCTGTTGTATATGTCTCTGAAGTTACCTAACGCTGCGGCATCGAGACACGTTATGTCTCCCATGTCTGACACCACACTTTTCTCAATGTCGATGTTTGGTAAATCAGTGAGGTACTCCACCACGTCATCGTACCCCATCCTACAGGCACGACCCAGGGCTGTTTCACCAGACACTGTGACAGCATTTAGGTCTGCACCCGTTTTGAGAAGCAGCTTCACGCCATCTAGGAATCCTACACCGGCGGCATAGTGCAGTGGGGTAAACTTATCTGAGTCAGTAATATTTACCAAATTATGGTCACGAGTGCAGAATTCTTTTAACTTATCAATGTTTCGACTCCTTACGACCTTGTGGATTACATTCATTCCACTATCAGTTTTTTCTAATGAATCAATTCGGTCTGCCACACTTTTGTTGTGTCTCTTGACAGCTATCTCTTTAGCAGTGCAGCCTTCCAGCTCACCAGGATGAGTTCCGCTTGTGACCTGCGTGGAAAGTGTCGCCAAATCAAAATGTCTCAGTATTGTGAGCACTGCATCACTGTTATTGTAAAACGCTGCAGCATGTAGCACGTTGAATCCATTTTCATCCCTGTACTCCAGGACTTTGTTTCTGTCCACCTGGCGGGCAATCCTATCAAGCTTGTACCAAAGCCTTGGCCGTGCGATGACGGAATACAGTCGGTGTAACGGATCAGGTATCACTGATGTGTCTTCGGTGTTTTCTGCTGAAATGAAAAGATGTTTATTATGTTTTCTTTCTTTGTGCTATAAAAACAAATATTTGACACAAACAACAATATATCATTCCTCTTGTCTACTAAAGAAACTTGCATGTACAACATAAGGTAATCGTATGTGGTTCACTGACATTTAAATGCGCATCACTACTAATCCAACTACGATCATAATGGAATGGACTGTCTCTGTTAGGCCAAGAATATTAAGAAGGAAGAGGCTATTTTGGTGCATTTCTTGTACAATGTTTGGATATATATATAAATATATATATATATATATATCAACATTACTGTGGATCAGAGTGTGTGTAATTTCTCTCCTTTGGGGAATTAAAGAGACAGCGGAGATTCCTTTATTCGTCCATGAGTGTCACAGTTCTTACCTTGTACCGGCATAATAACCTGCGAATCATCTCCATCCCGTGTATTATGTGCCTGAAGAAATCGGTTCCCGTCTCCTATTTGGATGTTTTGACTTTGGTTGATGCTAATCGTCTGAATATTTGGGCTTGTTAGTTTGCTTGGTACTGTAAAAGAGTATTAACTCAGTTTACTACGTGAAAATAAACTTTGTCAAGTCTTGGAAGTAAAGAGCTTCACTGAAGTGATTAACGTTAACGTTTTAGACCGTTTGTTCTCGTTGTTTTATAGTACCTTCTTCAGGAGCCCATGATTCTTGTCTGGTCAGATTCAGTATCATCAGCTCTAAAACATCTCTTTTCTTAGCTATGCCATGAAGAACGTCTTCTTTGGTTATCCTAGCTCCTTCTCTTTCCAGCACAACAGAAAGCTGGTCGTCTTGTCCATAACCTAACAGGGCACATATCAAAATTAAATGGAGCATTCCGATCTTTTCCTCCTAAGAGACGAATATAAGCTACTAAACCTATCATATATGTAGGTAGCGTAAATTTTGTTGTCTTCAAGTCTTTTTGATATTTGTGTTGACTCATTTAAATGCAGGTTTTACAGCATCTACACACACACACACACACACACACATACTTGTCTATGTGTACCAACCGAGGACATCAGCACAACACCATACAACCGAGGACATCTTATTNAGGTGTGTCCTCGGTTAGTGGGTTTCGGGCGGGTGTGTGTCCTCGGTTAGAATGCGTGCACAAGAGCTCACACACACACACACACACATAAAGACACGTGCACGCGCACACACACTTTTTATGCGTATTCTATTAATATCAATGCTTTGCCTGACTATTTTGTAGTTCAACAGTAATTTGTATGTCTTAAAAGTCCTACAAAAATACCTTGATGCAAACAACCGTACTTCAGCTTACCAAAAAGCTCCCTGGCGTCTTGTAGCAGCGCCTCCATTGTTGTTAACATGCATGTTTCCCTCTTCCGACGGTCACATGAGTAGATGATACAGGTGCTGTCCATCTCTGAGGTTAAATAACATATTTATTGATATTATTGTCTTCCAATGCATGTATCAGTAGTCGACAACAAAGTAATGCTACAGTGTACATTAGCGTATGTCATACATACACTGCATTACTGTAAGTTATAGAATGTCATTGATTTCTAATTCATGGTTCATTACTGTCACCACATTTCACACTTGCGGCACTCATGTCTGTTATTCTAATAGAAATTGGAAAGTGTTAATTGTCAACTTAATGATGTCGAGAGTGAGATAGTTTTTATCATATACCCGAGCAGGTTTCGAAATACGTACCGCTGTGAACTTCCTTATGGACCTGTTCCTCTCTACGTGGTTCAGATCCTGGTTCAGATCAGTCTACCGCAATCCTATGACCTGTGTTTTTTAATAGTGTCTATGCGACACAAAATGGCGGATTTACCGAGTATGTTGACACGCATGCCCTCCTCTACCCCGACGTCATTGTATTTTGTTTGTTTAGGCTACTCTTGGACATAATAACGTTTTGACCAAGGCTACTTCAACTCAGAGCTGCGAATGCGCAAATAGTCCCCATTGAGGTCAGACAAAGTATGGCTAATTTCATTATTTGCTCCCATTCAATATATAGCCTGACCCATGCCTCGTTTGACATTTAAATAGTAGTTAGTCTCTCTCTCTCTCTCTCTCCCTCTCTCTCTCTCTCTCTCGCACACATAAACACATTCACAGAGAGAAAAACTTTATAAATATAATAATATATGTGTCCAAAATTGAGCTGTTCAACTCATCAGCCACGCAGATTAGAAGGCTTGAGAGTTTACTAGTTTTACCAGTCAGATATTTAAAGCTGTACATAATTGAACGCTATTCTAGCCTTCACAGAGTCCACTACTTAAAAAATTGATTTTCAAAAGTCTAGCAAATTCTTCGAATTTAAATTTATCTGTTAAGTTGCTTAATTTAGTTGTCTGCAAGGTTTGGTCCATATACACTGTAGTGAATAATATAGACTGCTATTCTCTGATATTTGGGGCTTCTAAAATAGTACACAGACAAATTTTTTTGCAACAGACTACTAGAGGGTTAATATATCATAGATCTAATGAAATAACAAACACTTACACACCTACAACATTAATTGTCAAACTTTTATTATGGCCAAAAAATATTATTCAGATGTTAAAAGAAAGATAGTGAAAAGAAATTCTTGATTTCTCTATTATGCTACAGGCAAAGATGTTAACGGATACTTTATCTTACAGACTAAGTGTGAGCGATCCACTCAGATAAAAAATACTTGCAAACAACACTGGTAGGATAATGTAAGACCTTCATTATGTACAAAGAAAAATTATAATTCATATACATGTATGTAGCCAAAGAAATATTGTGACGAGAAATTCTTTAATGTTTTTTTCTGGCGTATTGTTACTAGGCCTATGAATTTTTTTCTTGCTTTTATGCTATATACATTAAATATAGTTTCAATAGTAATATAATCATTTTTATTATTATCTATATTAGTCGGATTTAAAATCAATATTATGGCATATAATGTACAATCTAAAATTTCAAACGTCCAAATTAAATTCAATTTTAAAAATGCCTGCTACAACAAAAGTCTAAGCTAAAGATGAGAAATTCTACTCACCGGTGATATAAATCAAAGTGCAGGTTACATCTTTAAGATACCGTACACTTCAATTGGTTAGGCATGCAACAAACCTTACGTTACAATGCATGGAGGATTACACTATATACATGTCGTGGTCATCGTAACAGTAAGTCCATTATCTATCATAACACGAAACTATTCAGTGTCCTTTAGCGGATTAGACGGCAATTAAGGTTTTTAGTGGTTCGCCATATTTTACCCCCATAATTTAGTCCACTGTTCTACTATAATTATGAGCCAGGAACCCGAGTCCCAGTAGGACTATTATTCCCAAGTAATGGTAGTCCTACGGACTTTGGGTGCTTTCCCAGAGATTTAGATCGATCTAAAGATTAAGTTTTAGATCGACCTAACTCCCTGGGGGTTCACGCTAAATTGCAGTCAGCCGAGCGGGCACCATAGTTAATTACCCCCTTACAGCTTTTAGTAGGCGGGACAGACGCTTAAGCCGGCCAAGCTGACAGTAATCTAGTGAAACTCCCCACAGGGATAGATCGATCTAAAAATCTATGGAAATGGGGTGTTGGATTACTGTTACACCATTATAATGAAACAGGAAGCACCAGTACTAGTGATAGTATTACCCAGATTAAAACCCTGTAGAACATCTATGAATATTCTGGTTCGCCTGCTGAGAAGGCGTGATCCAGAACCGGCTTCAGTCCGACAGTTGCATTAAGCACTCCAGTAGGAATGGGCCGCATCACATAGGCTGAAATTCGGCAATTTATTGACTCCATGCATCGCAGAATCCAGGCTGTGTGTGATGCCTGAGGAGGCCATACAAGATACCGATTTCAGTGAGCCTTCAACTGATGCAATGAATTTGAAACCAGGAAAATTTGTTCTTCATTCCTTA